TATTGCTTTCCCATGCCACAGCCACTGAGCTTGATGGGATATGGGGCAACCAGGACATGAACCAGCAGCCATGTGGGTTTTCAGAATGTACAAGTGAGAACTGTAGCCACTGGGTTATCATGCCAGACCCTCAATATAAATTTTGAAGGAAACAAAGACTCAAAGCATAACCTCAGATCTTTTATTTTTTCACAGAAATAAATAATAAAACCTCTTTTCAATTCCCGTCTCTGGCTCTTGATTCCGGTTCCTACTAATGTGAACTCTGGGAGGCAATAGTGATGCTTCAATTAAATCAGTGTGAGCTGACCACATGGGAGATTGGAACTGTGTTCTCAGACCCAAGCTTGGGTTTCCTACCTACTGCAAGAACTTTTGGGAAATGAATCAACAGATGGGAACATTATCCCCTTTGCCTCTTTGAGATTTAAAAACCAGAATCTCAAAGGAATAGGAAAGAAAGCATGTATAATTATAAGCTGTGTAAAACAGCTGCTCTCAGGCAGTTCAGAGATCCATTTTCCTAGGTAAACAGTAGGTTTTCCTGTACTATTTTTCTTTCTTTCTTTCTTTCTATCTTTTTTTTTTTTAGGCAGACACTTTATAGAGGAGTCAGAGATGCCATAGGCAAGTAAGCTTGATTAACAGAAAAATATGCCAGTATTTGTCCATTTGTGCTAAGTAATATTTTTAATAGATCACAGTTGAGGTTAAGTTGAAAAGAGGAACTTGAGGAACTTGACTGGAATTTAGTCAAGGCCTGAGTCTCTGTTAGTCTCGCCTGCTTGTTCATTGTGCAATAGAGGTTCACTTTTAGAACCCAATCCTGCCTTGTTAACTAGGAACTAGCTAATGCAACTGTGGTAGTGGAGAATATTTGCCAGATGGTGAAAGTAGTAAGGCATTTAATATTTCTGTGAAAAAAAAGGAAAAAATGGTTAATGGTGGGAGATCACTATAAACCCAGTCCCTGAGCTCAGAGGGAGCCAATCAGGAAGTGTTTATGTGCTAGACTTACATCTGGTAGGACAGACTAAGCAAGGCAATGATCCGATTTGGCTTTTGAATCTCACTGGCAATGGTACAGACAATTGTCACAGTCACCACCTCTGTGAGATAAGTAGTAGCTCTATAGACATATTCATGATGACAAAGAAAACTGGGCAATTCCATGGAAACCCATGAAATTCGTACTTCAGAGTTCCAACCCCATGACATTTGAGGAAAAGAAACAAACTGCAAATATCAATATGATCAGTCAGTTCCAGAAACTGGGCAGGAGATAAGCAGGAATGACCAGGCAGAGGATTTTTTAGGGGAACCAAAACTTCTTTATGAAACTATAATGGTTAATGCATTAGTATACTTACCTGTACACAGATTCATGGAGTATACAGCAACAAAAGTGAACTCGATGGGAAATGATGGACTTTGGGTGACAACAACAGGTCTGTGTAAGTTCGTGGGATTTTCTGTAATAGTTGCTGGTGTAGCACTCTGACAGCAGTGTGTTGCCAATGGGGGAGGTTGTGCTAATGGGGGACAGAATGGATATAGGGACTCTACTTTCCTCCCAATGCTGCTGTGAACCCAAAACTGCTCTGAAAACAAACATTTTTTTAAAAATTTCAACTCGGGTTGTATCTCATAAATTTATTAAATTGAGAAATACAAGTCTAGACTGTGAAAGATTTATTTGAAAGGAAGAGTAATAGAGAGAGAGAGAATATCATTCATCTGCTCCTAAATGGCCACAAGAACAGAACTGGGCTGATTTGAGCCAGGAGCCAGGAACTTCTTCCACATTTCCTGCATGGGTGCCTGGGATCCAAACACATTGGCCATCTTCTGCTACTTTTCCAGGTGCAGTATCATGGAGCTGAATGGAAAGTGGAGCATTCAAGACTCAAACCAGCACCCTAATTGGATGTTGGCTCATAGGCAAAGTCTCATATACCACAGTACCAGCGACTAGATTTTTCTTAAAAGGCCATGCTATGATTCCCATGTTGTAATTTTGTGGCACCCCAATAGAACATGAAAATGCAGGCCCCTGCCTCAACACATATGAAGGATTTCAGGAGTGTGGGGCACATGACTAAACTAAGTGCAGGGTCCTCAGAGAACACACAAGCCCTATAGCACCAGAATTGGTCTTGTTTATCATGAGTATCAAGGACCTGACACAGATCAAATGGAATACTCAGCACTTGCTCACTTGTCCCGACACACAGAATCCATGTCTGGGCCAACTGTTCACCATCATCCCTGGGAGACTAACACTAGACTACTCTTCTTGATGTTTTTAGTCTTTGAGGTCCTCACCTTTGTCCCACAAGAACTCCTTCTTGCATGCTGTTATAAATAATATTTGGAAGGGAAAGACTCAGTGTCATTAAGACACATAAGTGAAATATTCCAACTTCCAGTCAGGCAGAGCAGAATAAGGATTATCCAAATTACGTGAAAATAAAGATAAATAAATTAGCACTAAATGGGGTCTGTTCGCCCACTGTTACTATAGTAGCTGGGCTATCATCAGTGAAATATTTACATTTCTGGAAATCACAACTCATTGTTGTCAGGAAACAGTGTTGTGATCAGACACACGGTAGTGGGTCAGTGACTATCCTTTCCCAATGACGTCAGAGCTCCTAGATATCACTGACAATGCTGGGTAATTGTGAACATGAAGGTCATGATGGAGTACTGACTACTTGCCAGTCAGTAAGTCTGAGCTACTACACTTCTCAGCAGCCCAGATTCTTGGCCTAGACTTCCATGAGTCTGTGCACCCTTGTTACCACTGGTACAAAGCCAGCCCTCAGTAAGAGTCAGGGAGCAGTGTTCAAAACCTCTTGAAGAGTTTTTCCTAAATATTTTCTCTTATTCTTTTGTAGGCACCACTTTGGATCAGCAGTGAGCCCAGAGGCAAGAGGGTCTGTATTTCTCACTTTCTGACAAATTGGGCCTAGTAGTAGGCTGCTGGTAGAGAACTGAAGGTCTTCTCCAGGTGAAATCTGAGACTTTGGGACAGCTAAGGCACCACTGGGACCTCTTCCCTTTCATCATGACTGCTGTGCCCCTAGTGGCAGGGCATTTGGGCTCCATCTCCACACCTCTCCCCCTACAGCTAAATGGGAGCTCCTTGGGGTCAAACTGAAAGGTAACTTATGGACAAAGATGGATGGAGAACCTTGGAACACGTAAGGACCAAACCACAGTCAAGAACACCAAAAGTGCATAGTGAGCTCATTAGAAAACAAAGATCTCCATGAGTGCCCCAGGTGAATAGATTCAGATGTCTGGAGACCATACAAGAAAAACTATTTTTTTAAGTGCTAATGTTCATAGAGCATTTAAGAGTTCTGCTCTGTTTTGTGAACTTTCTGTCTGACTCATCCAGTTCTTGCAATCTCTATCTTGCAAATGAGGAAATTGAGGCATGGTATAACCTGCCAAAGGAATCTGAGCCGGCAGGAGAATAGCCCAGGCAGGCCGGCTACAGAAGCATGATTCTAATGTCTGTCCTATTTATGTTCTCCTGGACCCCAGTTACAGTTTTGGCAGAGATTTAAGGGAAGGACAGTTTTTATTCAATGCCAGATTTTGTGTTATAGGACTTAAATTTCAGTCTCACTTGGTTGAGGTTTATCATCTTCACTAGGGTATGAAAATTGACTTGTTCAGGGCCTCCACACACACACACACACACAGTAAAGTAAGCAACAATTTTGGCTCACATCCGTCTCTATGACTCCCACATCAGGCTTTTTTCCTCTCAGCTCCAAACCAACAGCCATAAGATGTGCCCCTGTAAGCCAAAGAGTTAAGTTCTCCAAGGATTAAAGTTCCCAGAATGAAATAATAGGTAGGAAAAACAGGTCTTCCCGTTATGTACTCCAAATGAGGGCCTATGGTAGAAGAGAAAGGTTTCATCCTAGACATGTCTATCAGCCAAGTTATGAGACAACAGTTTACAATAAAATTCAAACAGATAACGCAGTTGGCTACATGTAAATTGCCTGAGATTATTTAAAAAGGGAGAAAACAATGTATCCATAGATGCAAAGTAACCTTGAAAAAAATATTTTTTTTTTTCCTGAAAGTGTTTTGTCAAACCAGAGGGAAAAGAAGAAGAGGAAACAAAAGCCAACACAAAAACACCATGAATGTGAAGTCCACCATGAATGGCCTATTCAAATGGCAGTTAAGCTACAGTGTAAGTGAGAGGCTCTCATAGCTGTTCTGTTCCCAGACGAAGTGTACAGGGGACATCTCCAGAAGTTAAGAAACACTCTAATTACATAATGAATTCTAGTGTCATGCAAATAACCACAAGTATAATAGCCTTTAGTTTAAAATCTAACATAACTCTTGGCTTTTGTTTTTCTAAAAAGGATGCTAGCTAAAATAATAATTGTCTTTTAAAAGTGTATTTATTGATCCTATTTGAAAGGCAAAGAGATACATAAAGACCTCTGTTCCACCAGTTCACTCTTTACATGCCCTCAGCAGCCAGGTTGGGACTAGACTAAAGAAAACAACGGGGACTCAGTCACAGTCTCCCCCACAGGTATCAAGGATCCAACCAAATGAACCCTCATTTGTAACCTCCCGAATGAGAAACAGAGCTGGGACTTGAACCTAGGTACTCCAAAGTGGGGCAAATGTTGTTCACACGATGCTGAAAAAGAAAGTGGCCAAGAAATGTTTCCTATGAGGAGTCTTCTTGATGATGTGAGTGCAATCTCTAAACAACTAAAAGATCATCCACTTAGAACCCTAATTTAGTATTGTGACCAACTTTGCTTCTGTGCAGGCTAAATTAATGAATGTTTTCCAAACTAAGAATCACTTTAACAATGAAAACTTAATTGATGAGCAGGTACACATCTTTAAATCATTTATTTGTACTTTCTGAAATGTACTGTTTTCCCCATCATATCATAATTAGCAAACTAGCAGAATTTCATTATCACTGCTCAATTACACTAATGCTCAGTAGAATCCTTCAAGCTCTTCTTATTCATTCAAGTTTATTAAAAAGTTGCTTTGGAACTTCAGTTATAGTCAGCCAGCTGACAGTCACTTCTCTTTTACAATCCACAATTAAATAAGGCAATCTTTTTGGAACTGCTGGTCCAAGCTGTATGGGGTCCCTCTGCATTGTCACTGGGAAGAGACCTGAAACTTAATTGTCCTTAGCAGGAGGACTTTAGTTAATAAGTATCAAGTGGTCATCGCTTGACTTCCTGTAACAGAAAGGGGGAGGAGAAAGGATCAATGATTTAAAATCTTTGAGGAAACAAAGTCTCTGAAGCTGTTCAAAAATATGTACTGTGAAAAAAAAAGACATGGATTTCAAAACTTTCTTGTACCCAAGTATATTTATCTTTACTTCCATTTTTCACCATGCTTTTTGAAGTAACACACATACAAAATGAAATATATGAGAAGGAAAACTGAACGGAGAATTTGCATTATTTGAGATTTGAGTATAGCTTTTGGAAACAAATCATGAAACATCATCCACCACAGGACCCTACCTCCACGTTCTCTAAGAAAGCCTTATCACCGTGACAGAGAAGAGGAAAACTTAACATTGCCAGCTGTTCCATGAAACATCTCTCCAAAGAACCACATCACTTTGGAACTGGAAGAGATTTCAGAGATCATGTGATCCAACCTGACGGATCCCAAGAAGGTTGGGTGAGCACATGGCTAATACAATCTCTGAAGAGCAGCTTGGGGACTGGCTTGGGGGTTAGACTGTGCCCATGCTTGTTTTCATCTAAAGCAGAGGTGGGGTTTTTAGCTGGAAAGGTTCCCTCTCTGTGTTGTCTTTGGAAAGATTCTCCAGACCAAATTCTTAATGGAAGATTAAAATTATGTTCTAATGATTACATTTTGTGAATTAATCTATCTCCCCAAAACTCATGCAGATGTCCAAACTCTATTACCTTAATACTAATGAATGATAAATTGATCTAAGCATAGGGACTTGATCTAATTGTGGTATCTATAAGATGGGTCTAGTGGGAAGTCTTCAGATCACTGGGGTGTGCTCTGAGTTGATTATCTGAGTTCAAGTTCTACCTAGTTATTCTATTTTCTGGATCACCATTCCTGCACACTACTATGAGCAGCTTCCACACAATTACAGGGCTGCCCAAGCCTGAACTGCACCCTCTTAACTGCAAAGCCAAACAACCCTTTTCCTTCCCAAGAAACTCCCTGTAAATATTTTAAAGTAACAAAACACTGACCAACATAGCTGGCTCTGTCAATATCAGGAAGCAGCATCAGTGTGAGTTGGCTGGCTAGACTACCTGGGTGAAAACAAGCAATCATATCCACACTCTGCAGAGACGGAGCTGTGAACAGGTGCCACCATCATGGTCACCACTCAGGGAGTACAAAGCCTGATCTGCACAGTGCTTTAAGTTCCCTTGTTGCCGTGGTGTGTTCCTTCTCCAATGTTCACCCTCTCCTCACGGCCATCCTCAATTCATCCCATTTTCCACATTCTACCCTTTACAGTTACTGAAGTACAGTTGATTTTTGGTGAAAGCCAAGCTGTCAAGTGTTCTCAAGCTCCAAGCCAGTCCACTTCCTTCTGCCTGGTCCTGTGGCCTTGATTTTCTCTTTACAGGGTCATTGCACTGCCCTTTCCACCAGGATGCAGGCTTTGTTCTGGTGATTCCATTTTAAGTATTGTAGCTAACTTTGCAGCCACATTTTAGTCAAATGTGCTAACAGTCAATTCTGTTTTCATATTTCCCTTTTCCAAATCTACCATCAGTTTCATAGCTGATTTCCTTGATGGACTCTCTTGTATCTTTTAATTCCTTCTTTCCTCATGATGGCCTGACACTTCTTTACCCAATCCATTTTCCCAACCACAGTTAGCATTCCGAAGTGCAGACTGCCTGTTGAAGTTACCCTTTCTCACAACTCACACCCCATCTCAGTCTCTCACCCTGCAAATCTTCTCACTCATTTCATATGCCACACAAGCATAATTTGGCAACCTTTTAAGGTGTGTTGTGGTGAAAATCAAAGTTAAGAATCTATCACAACAAAGACCTAGCCATTATTTTTCAGAACTCCACCTACATTCCCTAGTGCATGTTTGTGCCTTACAGTTAATGACATAATAGAAAGTCAACGTTGAGAGGATTTCCTTATCCAGGGCAACTCTAAGAAGGATGCTGCCCATGAAGAAGATTAATCTCTCTTCATTCCAGAGTTCAAAGCAACAGCCTAATGGTCTGAGAGGACCAAATGTGATTCTAAAAGCCTAACTCTTTCCAGAAGGCCTCATTTCATATTTAACAGACATTCCTGGGCATGCTCAGTAGCATCATTTCAATTCCCAAGATGCAGAGGAATTGATTAACAGAAAAATATGTCCTGTCGTTTTAAGGATTAATTATATTCTTGCATCTTCCATTAAGAATTTGGTCTGGAGAATCTTTCTAACGACAACGCAGAGAGGGTATCCTTCCAGCTAAAACCCCCACCTCTGCTTTAGATGAAAACAAGCATGGGCACACTCTAACCCCCAAGCCAGTCCCAAGTTGCTCTGGGATGTACTTTGTCCACTGAGGTCCAGACCCCTTCTCTTTGCATCCTGACAGGTGTCCAGGAAAACACAGTAGGTGATAAGGAGCTACTGGCACATGCCTCAGCCTGGAGCCCTTCAGCGTCCTTTTGGGCAGCTTGTCCACTCTATGCAAGGAGGGCCATCTGTTCCCCTGCCATGAAAAGACAAAATGTTTTTGGCAACCCCAGGGCCCCGCCTCTAAAAATAAGAGCTCTGACCTCTCCCTGTGGCCACTAGGGAGCTCAGTCTCTTGATTTGAAGGGCATAATCCATACTTTCTCACAAGAACCTCTTAGTTGTCCTGAGATTTTAGTCATTTAAAAAGATGATTTATTTCACACAATAAGCTGGCTCCTGGATGCAGGGTTAACCTTGGAAGCTCTCTTTCTTGGGGGAACAGAGAAGTTTGTCTCGGGAATGTGGAGAACAAACATAACACTGACCTCCTCCAACAGCAGGTATGCGACAGGAAGGCCGAGGCCTCTCTCCGCTGCTCCTCTTCACTGCTACCCCTTTTCAGGAATTGCTGTAGGTCTGTTTCAGGAAACCCATTCTGTTGGTATTTCTTCAAAAAACAGTGCATGAGGCCATTACTTTATTGATAGAAAATGAGAAATGGGCCATGCTCACCTTTGCTAAAATCATACTCTATCACGTAGCTAGCTTAGGTCAAAGAAGCAATATTAACAATGATGAATCAATCCATCCCAGAATGCCAAGCCAGGCCCACCATGGAAACAGAGAATAATCTGTGGGAAAACTCCAGACAGCCAGCCAGGGTGAAGCAGGGAAGTGATGTGTTCAAAAGCAAATGAAAGTAATAGTCAAAAAAATAAAGTGTGAGTACAATTGCAAGACCAGAAAGAATTTGCTGTCACATATGGTCATCTCTCTTTCCTCTAACTTCTATGCAAGATGGTCATTTAGTGGGTCAGAAGACAGGTTTTTCCGAAACTTAAAGACCCTGAGACCACCTTCCTTCATAACCAATGAGGTCTTCCTTCCCACCACTGAGCTCTGGCCCACTCCTGGGACACTGTCATATGAAAGACATGTGCCTACAGTTTTTCTCCTACCCAAGACATGCTGCTACAGCCAATCCCCATTCCCACCTGAAAAGTAGCCTGATCGCACACCAAAAATGTGTCCAGTAGTTTTTCTGTTTATCTGGCTTTCGTCAGGTTGGTCTAAGAGAGCATAAAGCAGAGGAAAGCGCCCAAAGCTGCCAATGCTGACCCTAGAGCAGGATTCTCCAAGCATAAGCAACTTCCGTAGAAGCACCCAATACCTAAGAAAGTGATCTTTGACCAAGCAATCAGTGGGTGAAAAAGGTTTTATGTTGGAAGGATACAGAGCCCTTTAGGTGGCCCAAGAAAGCATGAAGCCACACAATCACAAAAACTTCAGCTTTCACAGAATAAAAGAACATGCTAGCCCACGTGTGTCAATATCTACATAGTGATCAGGCAGGCAGTGCCACGTCATCATTGATATTTGACTGCTCCAAACCCAGGATCCAGGTGGCCTCACAAGGCAGGGGAATGTTTCAGCGCTGAGAGCAGCAAGCGTTTTTACCCGATCCTTTCCTCCTTCCTACCATATCTTCAAGCCTGGGTCTGGGAACAGGGACAACGTCCTAGTTGTATATTTAAAATTAATCTCCAGTATCAAAAACCATTTCTCCAAACTCTCAAGATCAAAGCAGAACTGTAATATTTTAAGAGAAAAATGCATATGCCCAAGTTTCAACCTACACAAAATTTGCTATTTGGGGGGAGGCAAATATTGATAAATGCTTACCTTAATAGTGTCGTAAGAATCTGTAATAAGTGCAATAAAAAGGCTGAGAATCATATATATAAAAAGGCTAATGAAGGAATATAAATAGAGACGGCTGAACAGCCACACCAAGACACTCTTCTGCTCAATTTGAGCGAAAGTCGCAAACATGTCATCACCATTGACCAGAGAAAAGAGGCACTCAGCAACTATGTCCAGATTTTCAAACTGCAAGGGGAAACAAAAAACAGTTTTTGAGACAGAATAACCCAAAGCATAGAGGTATCTGATTAGCTCCTCTTACTAAGGATACTTCATCATTATCAGTAACTTACTCATTCAACCTAGATCACTACCAGAAACTGAGAAGTGTTATTCAAAACGCTACCCACACTCAAAGCTGACCTCTTTCTATTTGCACCAGGTTCTTTATATACACTTAGAGCATTTACTTATTTGTTTCTCTGATAGGCAGACAAACAGAGATAGAGACACCAAGTTCTCTTAGCTGCTGGCTCACTCGTCAAATGCCCCTAGTAAACTGAGACTGCATATCCTACCTGGGAGCTGGGAAATCAACCAAAGCTGCAAAGTGGGTGCCAGGAACCCAACTACTTAAATCGTCACTGGCTGTCTCTTGGGGTGAGCATTAGTAGGAAGCCTGGATTGGGAGCCAGGGCAAGGAATTGAACCCAGGTTCCCCAATGTGGAACCCCAATATGTTTTAACCAATATTTTAAGCTAGGCCAAATGATACTTCTATACACTTTTTAATGTATTTGTAATTACACCATCTAACAATTTTAGATCCTAATACTTATTTTCTGCTTTGGATAAACAACTTCTTAGGTTATTCACATTTGTAGAGTGCTTTTATACAATATATCACTCCTTAGAGATGCCAAATTCCTTGCCACTGGACATTGCAATGGTGCTTGCCATTATAAAGAACAAAGGACTGAACACTGCTATGGATAAGGCTTTTTTCTCTTAATGGGTCTTAGCTGGTGCTAAGAATTTCAGGCAGCATTTATGTAAAATGTTTTAACTGGCTAACCCTTCTCTGGAGTTAGATGGGCTTAGCTAAAACAAGAGGGCCTGGAAACATGAAAACATAGGGGACAGAGTATGCCTAAATTTTGCCCATGGCATTAGCTAAGTCCAGTAATTCCTAATGCCTTGGCCTTCTCATTTGGAAAATGGGGAAAACACAATTTGATGGTTTATTTTTCAAAGAAAATAAAAGCCTCTGGTATTGTAAAAGCCAAATTAGAGTAATGTTTAATAATTTAAGAGCGCATTTGGAAGAATATCAACTATCTAAGGCCATTGGTGCCCACACATTTTGAGAAGGCAAGACGCCAAGTCCATTAGCGCTAAAAATGAACATTGGCAGGACAGTTTTTGCATCTTTACTTCTTTTGAGTTGAACATTGAAATTACATATCAAACAGGAAGTCAGAAAGGTAACAAAGTTGTGGAACTCCAGTTACACATCAAACAGTGGAAAATCACAATTTTCTTAGCATGTCCTTTAAAGAGTTGTGAATTTTGTTTTAAAGGAAGGCTCAGTTTGCACACTCAGGGTTGGTATGATTCTAAAAATTCTAGACACTTCTGTTCTAACGCTCAGCTGCTTAAGGCTTTGGGTGACACTGAAAGTCCTGATTCACTAGATACTGGTAGACATTGAAAATTCTGACCTTTTGACTGAATTTGGCGGAGAGAGATATAGGTGGGGGCGGGGGGGGGCAGTAAAATTTCCTGACTTCAGAATCAAATAAGAAACCATTTGTAAAAGAAAAGCACAAAATTCCAGGACGAAACTAAAGTTCTTTGTCTCCACTGACTCCCACTTTACAAAGTAATCCAAATATACATGCATTTCCCCAACAGATTAGGGTTAACCCTAGCAGAAACATCTGTGAGGGCCTTGGAAACAGCCCTCTTCCTTCCACTTCTCCTCGAGGGAGGGATAAAAAGAAGGAAGATAATAAGTAAGAAGCACAGTCCAGAAGCACATTATCTACAATGGCAGCCATTGGCTAGGTGTGACAACTAAATATCCAATAGGTAGCTAGAAAGGCTGGATTATATACTAGATCTCAAGATTTAGTATGAAAAGAACATGAAATAGCTCCATATTTTATATTGATGACATGCTACAATAATATTTGGATTTAATCAGATATATAATTAAAATTAACTGTCAATTTTTTTTTCTTTTGTAATGTGACTGCTAGAACATTTTATACGCATAGCTCTCATTTGTAGCTCACATTATGCTTCTATTAGACAGTGGTAGGCTGGAGCATCCCAATTTCACTGGACCTTTCCAAAGGACACAACTGAAATACGGAAATGCAGTCAGGCTTACAAACAGTCGCTTCACTTTCCCACATGATGACCCTGACACCAGTGACAGCTAAGACTGATGGCAAGACTTTTCTCTGTCAACCTAAAAGTACCAGCCTGCTTCTTGGGTTGAACTAAATGCTCTTCTGTGATGGTCTGTTTTAAAAAATACTAAGTAAATTCCTAAGACATATTGATTAAAGAAGAGATTGAGTTCAGGCAGATCCGCATTTGTATCCCATCTCTTCTGTTTACTAACTAGAAACCTCGGGGAATGAGATACTAGGATGCTACTTTCTGTAAAATAGTAACAACAACAATGTGAGGGAGCTGCAAAAAGTTCGCAGGAAATGGAATTCAAAGCTTTGTTTATTTCAGTGCAAACAACTTTGAGATCTATGCATATGAGGATTCTTCAAATGGTGCAAGAAAATGCCTACTATGTAAAAACCATGCATGAAACTTCTAAAACATTTTTGCACAGAAATAAACTGACCTTATAGCTACAATTTAGTGAGCTTTTGGTATCACATTCACATTTCCCTACAAGGAAAAGAAAGAGGCTTAACACAACAAAGTAGGAAAAGAGCTTGGCTAATGGGTCTAATACACGGCACTGGAGAATTACGGTTATTTAGTCAAATTCAAAGCATCAATATCTGAGTGCCTTCTAGAATCCGAATGGAAGCAGACAGATGAATTAGGGGTACAAAGTGGCAGGACAGATTGTTGGGTTGTCCTGAGACTTTGAGACCAGTGAATTAAGTCCGAATCCTTATGGTCAATATTTATTCCACACAGTGCAACACTGCTCTCTAGCGACAGAAAAGAAGAGGAGCTCCCAGAGCTCAAGCCAAGGAGGAGGAGAAACGCCAGAGCACTGAGCTGTGTCAAGTTCTTCCAGGACACAGGGATCACAGGCAAGCACTGTTTTCACTTCGCGAGTCGGCGTTAAAGCAATGGCATGGGATTAGAAGCAGTCAGGGGATCAAGATATATTACTAACCCAGAAGTTATCCTTCTATGTACTCTACTCTGTCTCAAATGAGAACTAACTTCCTTCAGACATATAAAATGCGACACTCGAAGAGAAGGCAACCAGAGGATGCCAGTCCACATGGCTTAATGTGGTAGGACAACACTGAAGGGCCGGGTTTCATGGACAGCTTACTCTTTGTGCACAGTCTGCAAGCCAGAGTTGATCCTTTTGGCTAATACAACTAACAAGGTTAAAACTGAGAGTTGAACTCCTATACGAGCTGGAATGTCATCCTCTATCGTTACCCCCTTTCCTGCCTAGCACCTCAGTGAGGGCAACAGCTGCCTGGACTGCTGTGGGGAGCTAATAAATGGGAGCATGGAAATACACAGCAAGTGCTTGAGCAACAGCGAATGTTAGCCGCTGTGGCTTTCCAACTGCCCCAGGCCCATGAAGACAAACTGCAAACTGCAATAACCCGGTTTACTATTTTGGCTTGAAAACAAGACCTCCCTGGTTTCATTTCTTGATGTATCTACCAACCTAATTTATCATTTTAAAACAAGTACATTTTAGCATAACTGATGTCCCTGAGATTAGGATGTGCAGTAATAGTTTCAAAATCAGATACTGATCTTAAATGAATATAAAAATGATGCTATAATCAGAGCCACCTGCAAGAACAAGATGTGCTGCTTTTTTATCACAAACCTAATAACAGGCATTCTCACAGTCTCTGCTCACTTGGCATTCTCCTCCACTTACTTGAATTAAAACCTTAATACCTCAAGGTAAAAAGATTTTTGGAATAATTGTCCCATTTGTTTTTACATAATGATCTCACATTCAAACATTTTGCACTTGATCATCATGTGTGTGGTTATGTGACCCCTTAAGTCAGTCTCAGACAGTCCATATTTCAATATCCTCAAGAACCTTCAATGTTCCATAAAGGGAAAAAAAAAGAGAACTGACACAGATGTATGGTGCATGCTAAGAACGTATGGGCCGGAAACTCCTTCTCATGATTCAAAGTGCCCATTGTCCAAGGAGAATGAGGGCTACGTACCTTGTCGTGATAGGGGCCTAAGACAATCCAGCCACAGAATGTGTAACCCAGATAAATCATACCCGCACAAGCACAAAATCGAAGAACTTTGGGTAGCGAGGCTTGCATTGTTAAGATGAGGACCTGAAAAATGTGAACAGAACAGGGTAAATGTATATAACCACCAGAATTCAGAGAAGAAATAAGTCAGTAGCAGCATCACCAACCAAGGTCAGCTCCTTACATTATATGCTTGGAAATAACCCAGGTAACGAATGACTCCAACCCACACAAGCAGCGTAGATGTCCCAAGTAAAATGCTGCACAGATCATAATTTGTGAGATTCTAAGGAAAAAAAAAGAAAAGATGAATGAGGAAAAATTCAATTGTACTTGGGTTATTTATCTCATTGTAAATGGGATGGAAAAGGATGGATTTCTGTCAGTCTGCAGGTGATGCTAAGAGATTTTTAAAAAGAAAAAAATACATATATAGAAACCAGAGTTCCAAATGTGTTTCTAATTTCCTTTTAGTATTTCAATGAGATGGAGCTGAGGGACACAAGGCTGAAGAGAGGAGCACCAGTGAGAAAGCTGTTGTGTTCACGGGAACAGGGAGGAAAGATGGCCTGCAGGAAGCAGGGAATGGTGGAATGGAGAAGGGGTGGGGCGCAGTAAGTGTTCGGTCAGTGAGAGCCACTGACTGACACCAGAGCATGCAGGTGAGATTGGCTGGGTGAGGAGGAGCCAAGACTTCCAAGGTGTACTCAAGCAGTTTATACAAAGGAGCAAGTGTTAGCAGGTACCTAAGCATTCCTGAACCCACCCCACCTGTCAGAGCTTCCAATGCTAGAGAAATTTCCCTCTGGCTCTTGACATGTGTTTAGTGGGATGTGACTGGTTTATGGTTCAGCTCCTCCTTCATCAAATGAAAAGAACAAAAAACCCAAACAATCATGGTTTCAGTAACTATTTTGAAAGGACTGACTAATTTTCTGGGACACATTCATAGAGCAGCTTCCTTATTGCTCCTTCATGAACTACCAAATGTGAGGAGGCCTCTCACACAAGCAGGTGCGAGAAAATGTTTAAAAGCAAGACTCAATGTCTTGTGTCTGTTGGATTTTTTTTTTGTCATAAACTGCCTGAGGCCAACCAGAAAAACACGAGAATTGAAAGGTCTCAAGTGGACTGTACCTCACCTTTGTTTTGATTTCCATTTTCATTATGGATCCAATTATTGTCATGAGGTCGCTGATAATCACCAGGACATACCATCCATTGATGAACTCCCACCGGTCCGCATCACATACCTGTCGCTTGTACTTCTCCAGGAAGAACTGTAGAAATCTCTACAGCAAACACATGAGAAAACATTTGTGGGATCCCCTCAAGGGTGGAGATTATGTCACCCATTTTTTCCCTGTGAAGCACCCCAGTCAAGAGAGCATCCAACTACCTGCTAAATGAACTAAACCACCAAATATGCATGCGTCACTTTCCACTAACTTTTGTCTTAAAAGCGGCTGTATAGCTCATTGCTAACACTCAGTATATCATTAACTCATGCAAAGCAGCCTTAAGAACCCCAGGGACTGTTGGCCCTGTCATCAGTAAGACTGAGCCAGGATCCCAGCCCAAGCAGGCAAGCTGTACTCCCATATACAGGAGCTTATTCTTGGATTCAGACTACCAAGGGGATTGGAAGGCTGGGAAAAGTGGCAGGTATTTTCAAAGTGAGTTGACAAAGGTCAAGATTCAGGAAGGTAAAATACTGACTATCCCTTGTTCTGCCTACAGCATCCCATTGACTTCTATTTGCCTGAGCCAAGTAAGAAGATACATGCACCCCACAAACCGGAAGTTTGTAAGGAGCTGGAGCATGGGTTCCTAAAAGCACTAAGTATAAAAAGGAAAAATGCAGCTCATTTTGTTAACTATTTTGCTAAAGCCAAGTATTCGATACTTTATTACCACCCATTTACCACACCTGCATATTAAAACGAACATGAATTTCAAGAAAAAAGATGGATCCTACACTTACCCTGCTGTGACACTTACTCATGGATTTAAACGGATATCATTTATGCTGGAAGCATGCAAAAGCTCAAGCTCTCCACATTTTGACCTGTTGTCATTGGTTCGATTTTAAGCAGGGATCCCACTTGATGCAGCCAGTCTTTCTGTTTACCTCCTACCCCCTGGGCTGATTAATGCGCCAGAGGAGACAAGCACTGGAAAGACCTTATTTGGAGGCATCCCAGAAAGAAATGCACTGTTTGGAGAAACTGAGGGCACAGGGCAAGAAGGGAGAAGAAGGTGTAACCACACACTTACCTTTCGCAAACTCAGGGCGAGGACAATGGATCTGGTGCACAGAGTGAGAGACGCCAGGCAAATTACAATGACAAATGTATCAAACGCCAGCACATACTGGGTGTTCTTTGGAACTGAGAGACAAAAGCAGAATGTGGATGTGCACCTGACTTGAGACTAATTTTCCAAACAGATTAGCAGTCCAGAAAGAATGATGCACACTTTGTCTGCTGTTATAACGGTAAATATCAGGAAGAGATGGCATGGCATTCATGCAGAAGTGTAGAAACAAAGGCAACGTGGGCGTAGAAAGTGCAAGTGCACTATTAACTAGGACACTGGAGCTTACTTACAAATACTGACTTGCAATGGTGTTCAACAAAAGTAAAATGACTGGCATACCCTGAGTTCTTTCAGAAAAAAAAAAAAAGTGTAGACATCAAGCATGTCAGCCATGCAAAGATAAACAGATGGGACTCTACCACCCAGAACCCCTGCCTCTGCTCCCACCCTTTCTGCACACTTTCCCAGCCAACATGGCCAGTCACATGAGCTTACTCTGCAGCTGCAAATAATGACTTCTCGGAAGGGCAATAAAGAAGGAGACTGGTGAGCAGTTTTCTTCTGGACTTCATAGGAACAGAGAGCACACACCAGAGGGAAACGAAACTCTACCCTGAGCTACCCTCCACCCTCGGGTCTTCACAGCTGCAGTCCCACCCTCCCTGCTGGGCTCCTTCCCACCTGACTCCTCCTCCATGCTGTGGCCATACTCTTCGCCCTTCTTCCTTGCCCTCACCCCAGGGACTTTGCACAAGCTGCTTCATGTACCTATAACAGCCCTTTGGTTCACACACACATATGGGCAGATTTTTTTTTTCCGAGCCTCTGGACTCAGGTGGATAATCTCCCATCTCAGCCCAGAATTGCTTAAATTTCCATCTCTATAGTCCCTCTATAGTCCCTCTTGTTTCTGTGCACAGCATCCTCCCTCAGCAGGAATGCCTCAACTGTTAGAAATTGGCTCCCTAAACTCAGCAAGATTATCTGTACCCTAAAGACTCATCTTAGTTCACAAATTAATGCTACTGGATGACAAATGCAGTGGGCGATTGAGTCATCGCGGTGTCTGAAGGTGAGCCTTTAGGAAGCCATAAGACTGGCCCAGGCTGCCAGGATAGACACCAGGGCCAGAACAGAGATGGCACCTTAGAGACCACAAGGAGGATGAACGTGCTCTCTGTGTCTCTGCTCCATGCCCACCATGTCATCATGCCTCTGCACCCACTCTGCCTCTGCCAGCCACCACCAGGCACCAGACTAATGAAGCTGCCCCATCTTGAAATGGGAGCCCCCAAACTAAGATAAAGCACACCTTTTCCTGCCTCAGAAGCTCCCCGCAGGCACTACAGTTGAAGTTATGCAGAGCCAACCAATGTAAGTTACCACTATGTCATACCCATAATTGTCCAGATTAAACTGCTACTCCCAGGATGGAAACCATGAAATGTGTGTCATTGGAGACCAGATTGTGACTCTCCTTCCTGAGTCTCCCATACCCTGTGCCTCCTCGCTTCCCTCTGCCTCTCTCTTAGCTCTCACCTTCTTAAAATCCAGCTGGGATTCTCCAGGGCTCTCATACTCACTGCCCTCTCTTCGCATACTCACAAGCATGCTGAAGCACTGTGCAAAGCACACAGTTGTTCCACTTTGGTCTGCACTAGTCATGGGCCCTGCCTTTAGAGGGAAAGATGGATACTGATGGCAAAACAGGAACCGCTGTTTTAGCAGCAGAGAAGGGCAGAGAGTCCAGGAGGAACTGGGGTGTGAATGGCACAATGCATGAGAATTAGAAGAGGAGGTGAGACCCAGCACTGCAGGAGAGCAGCTTATGCCACAGCTTACAATGCTGGCCCCCTGAATGAGAGTGCCCTAAGAACCCATGGCTCCACTTCCTCTTTTTTTTTGGAATGTAAGTGTTTTATTGTAAATTTTAGGACATCAAAACTTACTGTTTAGAATTTTTTTTTATTAATAATCTTACTTAGTTGACTAGGGTGCAAAGGGTCAAGGGCTACAGGAAAGTGGGTAAGAACATTGTTTCCACACTAATATCATCATTTTTCCCCTGTATCTGGTCACTCATCCCAGGTTGCCTGATGCGAGGCATGCTCTGAGGGTCCTGCTCAAGCAATTTTGATAGTTCAACAGTTCTGAATTGCTGCCAATCTCGCCATTCCAATCATGATGAAATCTCTTCAGAATCCACTGCCTAACATAGTCTGTTCATGGTTGGGGTTCTGAAATCAGCAGTTCAGTTGGAGGGATCCCCAAAGAAACTTCGTCTGAGGTAATCCCAGACCTGATTCTTATATGTGCTTACAGCTCCACTTCTGATTCAGCTCCCATGCCATCATGCTTGGGAAGGCACAGGAAGGTGGTAATAAGTGCTGGAGCCCCTGACTGCAACCTGGTACAGATCTGGCTATTGCAGCCATTGGGGGCAGGGGTGGGGTGTTAATTGGTGGATCAAAGATTCTCTCCTTCTTCATCACTCTGTCTTTAAAATAAATAAACCTTTTAAAATATATATATATATATATATATGAGTTCAGGTTTGGGAAGGAAATGAAGAAAGGCCAGAGAAACAGAAATAGGACTAGGAGCGTCAACCTTGAGAGGGGTGTGTAGTTCAGTGCCACATGTAACACCTGCCAGGGAAGGCATTTCAGAGGAAGATCTGTGTGTTCCTTGATTTAACAATGCAAACCTGTGTGTGACACTGAGGGCAGATTAGCTCACCCTGAGGGGAATGAGCATAGCCAGCCAACAAAGCTGGTTCACACAGCAGTGACTGCACCTTGCTAAACTACAGATGCTTCAATGACACGGTAAGGAGGACCACTACACCTGCTGCACAGGCTGTCCTGAGACTTGGGGGAAACAGCTCGTGCTTGCTAGAATAGCACTTAGGGCTCAGCTTCATCTCTGCCACTTTACATGCGGAAAAGATACCTCAAAATGCCATCTACTCGATAGGCAAGAAGACAAATTAGCTCTGAAACCCTATGTTTTCTTGGCCCCACAGAGAAGAGCAGAAGACATGGGGGCGTTCTTGTGAAGACAGGACTGAGAGGCTAATGAATGCCTCTGTTGCCCACCTTTTCGACATGAAAGAACCAAAGTCTATAAAATGGCTTGTACCACAGGGAGTACACAAACCTGAAAGACAAAACATCCCTTCAACAGTGTGGTATTCTGCTTTCCTTTAAATGATTTTTAATAAGACTTATTTATTTGAGAGTCAGAGTGATGGAGAGTTAGGGAGAGAAAGATCTTGCCTCTACTGGTTCATTCCACAAATGGCTGCAACAGCTGGGACCTGGCCAGGCCAAAACCAAAAAAACCAGGTACCCAGAACTCCATCTGGGTCTCCCATGTGGGTGGCAGGGATCCAAGCATTTGTACTGCTTTACCAAGCAATTGGCAGGGAGCTGGATCAAAAGTAGACTATCTGGAACTCGAACCAGCATCCAGATGGGATGCTGGATTGTAGGTGCTGATTTAAATCCTGCACTCCAATGCTGGACCCTTCTTTGCATTATTTTAACACTTACTTTTATTTGAGAGGCAGATCTACAGAGAGGGGTGAAAAGACTGAGAGAGAGAGAGAGAAATTCAGTAGTTCATTCCCTAAATTGCTACAATGGCCAGAACTGGACTGATGCAAAGCCAGGAGTCAGGAGCCAAGAACTTGGGCCATCCTCCACTGCCCTCAGATCATAAGCAGGGAGCTGGATCAGAAGTGGAGCAGCCGGGACTTAAACCAGAACCCATAAGTGCTGTTGGTGGTGCAGGTGGAGGATTCTTTTGCTAAGCCATGGTGCTGATCTCTTCTTGGCTTTATTGGAAAGACTAGTTTTGTGTGCTAAATATTGTAATGACCTGTGATCACTTTCTTACTCTACTAAAACCATGTTACCCCACCCCACAAGATCATTCTCCAAACCTACCTTTGTGAAACACAGGAAAATGTCCAAAAACTTGCACCTGCTTGGGGAAGTCCCCCACACCCACGCCTGGCCTGTCAGTGGGACCCTCAGCCTACTGACCTCCCCTCCAGTAAGATCATTTGCATCATCCAGCAAAGGGGAATCCTGCTCATGAATTTTCCCTCAAGGTCCTCATACTCAAAGTGCTACACTTATTAAATTGGGTTAAATGAAGGTTAGTAGGACACTTGGATGAAAAATCAGTAACCATAAATGGCAACATACTTGTACGGGGAACTTGAGATGGTAAAAGCAGACAAGAGGAAGAAAGGAGCTTTGGGTGAGTGTGTGGGAGCAAGGAGTTTTTGAGCTTCTTGGAAATGGTACAAGGGCCCCCATCAAATGTAGCCTTGCCATGACTTACTGGCAAAGTACCAGGACAACCTCAATCCACCAGACAGCTTCATATAGCAGGAAAGTTAAAAAAAAAAAGAATTTCCTAGGTTTATTTCAAACTTAAGCAATTTTAGCCTTTGACTTCACATCGTTTATTTTAACTCATATTCTCCTAGAGCTGAAAACTGGTTTCTTGGGACCCGTGTGGTAGAAGAGCAAATGTTAAGTTTCCCTGTTTTCATTCAGTGTCATGTTAGGTTTGTGCTTCTCCATACTGGCCACACGAGGGAGCCAGAGTTCCTTTCTTCCAAGTACAGGCAAAAGAATTCAAGGTTTCAGGATTTAGGAACCCTGTGTGGAGACTGCTTGGCAACAGATTTGAACTCACTAATTCCCACATCTTGATTTTCATAAAGACCATTTCAAATCACATATAAGAAAAGATCAGCTTTCACATGGTAACTAGCTACACCCTATACATGGAGAAATGGACTGGTGCTGTGTGCTGAGAGGTGCCGCTGGCTAACCAGAGAGGCCTGGTCAGTAACAGGACCCCCGAGCCAGCCCCTCATGACCATTAGCACACACTGTGTACCCAAAAAGCCGCCAGCCACACGTCAAATCTAATTTACAGCAAAACTGAAAGCAGGTCCACAGACATTTTGTTTTATCTGACAACCTAGTCATTCACTTAAAGTGAATTCACTGAAAGGGAAATTCATTCAAAGTCACATGGCAAGTTGAAAAACACAAAGAACCCTGAACGTCGTCATGACCGCTCATCTAGCCCGTGGGGCAGGGTCTGTGTGGTCCATTGTGAATGTGTATATTAAAGGTATTTCCCAGGAAAGACTCAGCAAGTGACCAGGCCTTGTAGAGGCTGCAGTCTGGGCCCTGCAGCTCCTTCTCCACTGCCTCAGATACCGTCACTAGGAATCATTCCTAGGTTTGACTTCTTACTCTGGCCCAGGCTCATGCAGGCTTTGCAGGTTTTCTCCACACACTTTGGGCAGATCTGCCATTCAGTTCCATCCTTAGCACACTAGAGTGAAGTATTTTCTTCCTCTACCCACGGTGCTTGGGAGCTAACATGTAGTAATTCTTGCTGTCAGTACTCCACTTTACCAAGGAACATGCTTTTGACTCAACATCTTGAAGATAAGCACATGCAAGAGGAAGGTGCTGAGACAGAGGGGTGGGAACTCTGTCCAAGGTCACAGACACAGCGGACAGAGCTAGCTCTGAACACAGGCCTGCTGGCTCCAGAGCCTGAGCTCCTAACCGCCAAGGCATGTTGAGTCCCTGAAGAGACAAGGAATACAGATTTGCTGACTTGAGCAAAGATAAAAAGCTCAGAGACGTGCTTTAAGAATCTAACGCTCACATGCTTTCTGGAACTCTTTTGTCCTGCCAGCATCCAAACAAAGCATGTAAACAATTGTCCCATAACCACAGCAGATTGGCAAATAGCATACGTACTGGATCCAGATATGTTTAGATCTTTACATTCTCTTATCTTGGCATCACTCTCAAAATAGACTCTGATTTTGCCACTGTGAGCTTTGTTGTCGAAGGTGATCTGCAGACACAGACAGACAGAAGGGTTACAGTCCAGCAGGGAGTGTAACCTGTTGGATGGACTCTGTTGACAAAGCACCAACAGCAGCCAAGCTGTGCTGATCTGAGGGAAACGACCAGAACAAAAATGACTTGGTCACAGGCTTATTTTGCAAATTGCTATGACCAATGACAAAATACAAGTATTACTTGAAGGTGAACCTATCTCCAGAGTTCTAAGTCTGATTTCAAATCTCTCATACAAAGAAATCCTACAACAAGACTACCTAGCAGTGCCCAGAGCGAAAAAATCAGAATTCAGTCTCGGGCAAATGAACTCAATGACCTTCATGATGATACGGAACAGACTTTAAAGGCATTTGTTTCGTATTACTCCTTTGTGTACAAAATGCTAGTTTTTTTTACTAGGTTGAAGATCCTTTTGTATTTTGCTTCAAGAGCTAATTATGCACAATACTTTCAGAAAGGACAAAAGTTACTACAAGATTGCAGGTGAATAAATGTCCAAATGCCCTCACCCTTCCATGTTGTGGAATTGAAGTTAATCATGTAAATCACTGAAAGTTTACAGGGGATATATACAAAGTAATTCTAGGGTGGCCACATTAAACAATCCCAAAGACTTACACAGTGCCTGGAGTGCTGAATGCGTCAGTGTCCAAAGCCCAAAGCATCTGTGCCTTTGTGAACACAAGCCAACTTCCGTGTTCTCTAGGAACACACCATAAGCAAACCAGGAGGTTCCAAGGTCAGTCCACTGGTCTCATTTCTATACCATAAGCTGAGGAAGCCCCCACTCACACTGGCATTCCCCACCTCCATTTCCCCCAGAAAGACCCCTAAAACACTTGTATCAAACGTTTAGAGTGTCCTAAGCAGATAGAAATTCAATGAAGAAAACAAAAATATGAAAGTCAATGTTGTTTAAATCTTCCCTGCTGACTAACAGTTGATTATACTTGGGTAGCGCCATTTCCACATGAGCCTCTTAATCATCAGGCAATACAAGGCTCCTTCAGTCCAGTCAGCCCAGGAACTTAGCCATACTCCTCTCAGCAGGAGGCATTCATCCATGTACACCTGCAGGTTTGTTTTCTCAAGAGGCCACAGCAGTTACAACAAGACCAAGGCCAAAGCCAAGAGTCAGGAACTCAATCCAAGTCTCCCACATGGGTGGCAGATACCCAGTTATTTGAGCCATCATTGTTGCATCCCAGAGCCTGCAGGAATCAGAAGCCAGTGCCAGTCACTCTTACACAGAATATGAGCATCTGAACTAGTGGCTTAGTCAAAGGCTATTCTTTCTTTCTTTCTTCCTTCCTTCCTTTCTTTCTTTCTTTCTTCCTTCCTTCCTTCCTTCCTTCCTTCCTTCCTTCCTTCCTTCCTTCCTTCCTTTCTTTCTTTCTTTCTTTCTTTCTTTCTTTCTTTCTTTCTTTCTTTCTTTCTTTCTTTCTTTCTTTCTTTCTTTCTTTTTTGTCTGGTTCTATCAGTTGCCTGTAAGGAACCCTGTATCTCTAAGACATAGGGCAATTCCTGGTACCAAGTGAGTGGGATTCAGGATTCCTCCACTATGGTGGCATGAAGCAGTCTTCTGAGTTGCAAATGGACAATGGATGCAATTTCCAGTTAATCTACCCACCCGGGGTACAGAACACTGGCCCAGCAGGACATGTAATGTCAGCAAAATCATCTGGGCTGTCCCTCCTAAGATAACTAGTGGGGCAGCAGGGGGCAGGGGAAGGTAGACTCCAAATCAAATGAAACTTTCACAAGCTAGGTTGATAATCTTATAATGTTGATAACCCATGAATGATGTTGTACATATCCAAATGGCCCCTGGTAGAAACAAGGTTCTCTACCCTCTGGTAACCTGTTAACAATCAAATAAGAAAGGAAAGAAAAATAGAAGGAGGAAGGAGGGGAGTGGGGGCATTCCACAACCATGAGAAGTACTGTCCTCACAAGACTGAGTGGTGGCTGGACTCATCTCTCAAAGTGAAAGGGGAAGCCACTCCTTGGTGGCCTGGCCCGCAGATCAAGGGTGCAGCTTCTGTTTTGAGGTCTGATGACCTTCCTCTGAGGCCAGAAAAAACATAACGGACACTTAAAACGTGTCATTCTTCAACGGATTAGGGGAGCTGGAGGCCAAAGTCACCTTGCAAACTACTCTTTTCAACCCTGGAATCTCAGTTTGACAAATCTGGAAAGGGCACATTTCAAGTGCAGAAGTAATGGTTTCTGGATCAACCAAACCATAACACATAAAAGAAACTGAAACCTGGCCACAGCCAACATGTGTGCTGGTGTGGTTTACACAGGAAGCTACAGCAGCAAGTGGCTAGGTACAACAAAGACACTGACCTTGTTTTGAAAGATGTAACAGTCAGGCAGCTCTCGGGAACGAATGGTCTGTAGATCAATGCCCTTGAGATGAAAGGACATTTCAACGTGTAAGAGCCTGCATAAGATACAGTAAAGGTATACATAGTCATAGCTTTCGACACTACTCCCCTTACCCCACTCCTGTTTCCTTAAAGTTGTACTCACTGATCAAAATCCAGTCTGAAGAATGATGACTGTTTCCAGTCCTGAGGTTCCTGGGAGAGGACCTGGAGGTCCAAGTGGATACAGTCTGGTGGTAGAAGAAACACGGATCATGGCAGGCAAGAGTCATATACTAGTCCTTGTGGGCAGGTGGGGTGGGAAATAGGATGAGAAGCAGAATGCCTGCCAAGCTTCAAAATCTCTCCCCAGAAAATATTCACTAATTGTCACAGAAGAATAGTAGCCTTTCCATGGAGAGCTTGCAGACACCACACTGAGTGAGCCAAGTGGGCACTGCCAGTAACAGTATAGACGCTCTGTGTCTCCCAAAACCATGCCCTAGAAAGATACAACACTGGCACAGGATATCTGTGAAAAATATATGTAAAGCCAATCTAGTCATGAATAAAAGCCCAAAGCAGGGGACATCCTACTCTTTAAAGTTGTCAAGGGCAGAGCAGGCATTTGGCACAGCAGTTAAGTGGCCTCTTGGGACACCCGCATTCCAAATCAGAGAGTCTAGTTTGAATCTTGGTTCTACTACAGATTCAGGTTCCTGCTAAAGTATATCCTGGGAGGCAGCAGGTGACGGCTCAAACATTGCGCCCCTGTTACCCATGTGGGACACCTGATTGGAGATCTAGATAGTCCCAGCTGTTGGGAGCATTTGGGAAGTGAACCAATAGGTGGGAAATCTCTGTTTCTTGCATTTTAAGTAAAATGAAAATAAATAAAATATTATGTTAAAAAGATCCAAGATACTCTTCTTTTTAAAAATGTCAACATTAGTTAAAGACAAAAAGTCAAACAGCTTCTTTTGCTCCAGAGTCAAAAAAAAAAAAAAAAGTAAAATTCTGGACAGGAATTAAGATTCTGGACGGGAATTAAGATTCTGGACAGGAATTAAGATTCTGGACAGGAATTAAGATTCTGAACGGGAATTAAGATTCTGGACGGGACCCCAGAGAGGGAGTATGGGTTTGGTTTGCTGTGAAGGACACTAGGACAGTTGATACAATCATCCTAGTGTCCACATCATCACCTTGGATACTGTATTGTGGTTATGGAGCAGATGACAAACGCACACTGGAATCTTTAGAGGTAAAGAAATAGCACTTCTACACTTTCAGGAGAAATATTTATACCCAGGAAAAATAATCAAGAGTGTGTGAGAAAACATTAATATTTTGGCAATCTGGATAAAAGGTAAATGGTGTTACATAGTTTCTAAATGAAAACAGAGAGAGAGAGCAATAACTCAAACAATAGCAAAGTATGAGCTGTAAACTATAAAAGAATGATTCTAAGAGCCACACATTAAAATTAGTCTCATTTGCAGGTCGCACATCCCTAACTAAAAAACCCAAAATCTGCAACTTTCTGAGTATCAACATGACATCACAATTGGAAAAGTCCACACCTGATGTAGAAGAGATAGATTTGACAGATGTTGGTGAAAATACAGGTACCAAAAAAAATTTTATATAATTATCTTGAGCCTATATGCTCAAAATATAGTTCAAACATAGATGAATACTGAATTTAGACGTAGATCTAATTCCCAAAATACCTCATTATGTATATGCAAACATTCAGAAATTCAAAACCATGCAAGATCTGAAATCTTTCCAGTCCCAAGAGTTTCAGTTAAGGGTTACTATCACTGTATCATGCTTTATAGGACAAGAAATCAGGAAGTCTGGAAATGAGCACTTTCAAGGTCAGAGAAACTTAGTGGCAGAACTGGTATAAAGCCAGTCTGACCAATTCCTCTAGAATGTGCTGCCCTACTCCTGATAACAGCCTTGTCATATAAGAGGATCCCACTCACTGACAAAAAGACCCCAGCTAAAACAAACAAACAAACAAAACAGCCCCAAAGGAAGGGGAACAGGTACATTTTTCAACCATCAGGGGAAATAAGAAAATGGCCATAATGTCTCATGCTTAAAGCATGTGACAAAAAAGTACGAAGCTTTATTATTTGAGTAACAAAAACAAAACCCTGTGTTGCCTTGTTGTAATCTAAACAATAGAGAAAAGAATGTTTTCAACAGGACTTACAGCCATCCCCTCAGTAAGGCTGAACCAGAGAGCTTGCAGCTCTAGAGACAGATATCCCTTCAGGATAAACTAAGTGAAAACACACGGCTTGGGCTACACAACCAGTGGCACAGGACGCAGAAACTCACAGGGAGAGCTGGGCTCAGCGACAGAGCTGGCACGTAGCATCCTACAGATCCTTCTCTGAATAGTAAAGACAATGAAGATCCAGGAGTCTAATTTGAAACTGCTTCTGCCACATGCCTCCTTACCCTATTGTGCCACACCGAGGAAGTCAAGCTCAGTCCTTTCACATCATCTGCAGGCTTCCTCCAAAGCATCCAAGAAAACAAAATCTAAAATCCGGCATTAAAATAAAGATGCATACTTATTTCATGATGCACATTTATTTCTTGAGGCACATTTCCCATGAACTTCTTGAAGACCCTCCTAGATACAGATTCAAAAATTTTTGCATCAAAATAAACTGAGCTTTTCATTCCATTTTTCCATAATTTTCTGAAGTAATCCTGGATTTTAAAAAGTCTTCCTTAAAGTTTTCAACCACATCTTCAGATTTTCTTTAGCAAGATCTATTTAATTAAAAAATATAAATAACTTGCTTAATAAAACTCTCAAAGTAAAATTAAATTCATAATCACCCCCTCTCCATTTAGCTAAAATATTCCATATTCTGATAGGGAGGAAATGAACAAAGATGCCACTGTCCACTGACCATGGAACAAATCCTGCTTTCCAGCTCTGTCCGTCCTACGTAGCCACTGATATTGACTTTGGCCTTATTTCTTGACCAATTTTCCAAGAAAAATCAAGTGAGAAAAACAGTATACGAATCACTGGGAAACTGGTTCATTCTATTTGAGTCACATTTATGAGAGGAAAAGAGGCAGATGGCTCATTTGAAAGCAAAAGACAACTGGACAGGCTTTCAGCCCCATGTTCAAGTTCTCCTATCACAGTCACAGGTATCACCTACAGGCACAAACAGCAGACCAGCCCCAGCCCTGAGGAAAAGACAAAGCCTGAAACAGGACTGCCTCCTGGAGGTGGATGACCAAATAGACCTCAGGTTAGCAGACACATCCTGGGCAATCAGAAAAGTCTCACTTCAGTGCTGCTAGCTTTAGAACTAGCAATCTGGTTGCTGGATGCAGCCTGGGAGGGAACCTCATCAATGTGTCTGTAGGCTTGGCAGCTATAGCCGCATCAATGGCTATAGAACACATTGACTCTTGAAGAGATTATAAACAGGCAACCTGAGAAGACAGAACCAAAATCACTGTCTTACAGGGGCATTCTGTTGTACTATCAGAGCCCCTTCAGATCAGATTGTAGGAAATGTGGCCAAAGGACCTGTGTGACTCTCCTGAGACAGGAGAGAAACCAAATTCCCTCCATCAAGCCCCTTCTGACCTGGATGGGCATCTGTCTTCGCACATGACTGCGTAGTCACCCAGCTTGAAGCCAATCAGGATCAAAAGAGCAATTCACACCCAAACCACCAGATGCCTCTACTGCCTCTTTGGGGTTTCCCCAACCCACGCATGTCCAGAATAGCCCCAGAGTGACCTGTATTGACTTTTCTGGGGAGGTAGTAGCAAGCAACATCCCCATTTCAAGACTGTCTTGTGCCAAACACAGAAGCCTGAGAAAAATTCCCATCCTGATGCTGAGCCAGAACCCTGGCCCAGCTCCCCTCATGCAGCCTGTCAGTGACACTTCTTTGTACCATGCTGTCTCCCTTGTGCTCAACCCCCCAATCAGCCTTGTCTGGGTCATGCATTGGCCTCTTCCAAATTTTTAACATGGGAGGTGGGTCAAAGAACCTTAAGTCGCAATGACTCTCATTTGAATAACGGTTCTGTTTCATTTGAAACGGTTCCAGATTTCCACTTACTAAAACCCTTGCTTCTAAACTATTTGCTACAGGAAGAGTTAGAGTCAATTCATCCACACAACTGTGGTTTGTAAAACAGTGGTTGTAGCAGCTGTGCACCGATCTGCTAAACTGATGAAAAACCCCTCCCCCTCAAATCCTAAATTAAGCCCTTTGTGTTTACACGTGGCATGCTCTTGAATCCTTGCAAGAATAGCACAAGATGATTCGTGTTCTACCAAAAGATCTCCTAGCAAAAAGTAACTACTTAAGCACAATTTGCCTTTGAGAGCATTTGTATGTCCTGGGAATACACACACACACGTACACACACAATGCATTTTTTACACACATTTCTTCATTTAATACATACAGGCCTATTTTTTCAAAATGCCTAATGACCCCTCATGAGGGCTAAAGTTTAAACAAAAACAGCACACCTGTTCCCTTAGGTGAATACAGTAATACTGAGCTGCTCCAGAGAACCATGTATGGGGGAGCTTCCTACATCTCAACAGGCACATGGTAAGGTGACAGACTGAGTGGCTGTGTGGTTGGCTGCACGTGAGGGCCCTTCGGGTCTTAGCACAGAAAACAGAAAAGGCATGTGATGAAATTATTGTCATTGTGTTACCTGTCTCAATGTCACTGTCAAGGTTCAGTGTGTCATTAGCAGAAGGCACCATCCCCTTCTTGTAATGCTGCTTACAGACCTTCAGGCCAATCCTATGGTCTTCATTTTCCCCATAATCAAGGGTGGTCAGGGAGATGTTCTTTAGATGGTGGTACTGTTAAAAATACAGGTTAGTGACTGTTAGCTAAAACCAGACATGAGCCTGCAGAACTGGAGCAGAAGTCACATCACACAGTACATACTTCAGCCACTCTGCTGTTTACTCGTGCCCCTCAGTAGACCTTTTTATTTTAAAACACTATGGAGTAATCTTCTAGAAAGATCTGGCTCACAGAGCTCAAGCCTTGAAGAGTCAACACAGAGGTTGACTCTGCCATCCTCTCAGAGCTAGGCCAGAGTCCTGCCTTATCTGACAAACACCTTGGCTCCACCCCCAATGCCTCAGCCTGCTCCTGGAGTGGCCAGGCACCATCTTCCTGCCTCTGATCTTCCCTTTTTCCTCATGTACACCTGTTTATTCTCATCTCCAGGTCTGAACTCAGCTATCACCACCTCCCCCGTACCAAGTCAATGAAAATCGCCAACATTCATCAAGACATCACACTGTGTCCCACAGAAATGTAATATATACAATTACTGTCAATTCAAAGCAACATAACATAGAAGGAAATGAATAAACACACACACACACACACAGACTGCAAGCATCCTTGGCCATGCCTGGGTGTTGCCCATCTCCAGAGATCCTGTTGGGACATATCATTGACCAAAACAAAGCATCCACATCCCCAGTTATTAGTCATATAATCTTACTATTTGACTAGCTGCACTAACAAGGCATTATTAGATCCTGTCTTCACTCATAATGATTTGACTATTTCAGAAACTTCTGTCCAGGAACACAAAAGGTACAAACAATGGTGTTGCTGATTTCAGGAGTATCTGGGAAAAATATATTTAAATAGCTACCAATGTCAAGGTTGAACCCACTAATAACTCCAAGACTCTGTGGGACTGCCCACCCCCAACCTCTATAAACTCTCATCTTGCTGTGACTGCCACAACCCAAAACTACTATATCATAATCCTTACTCTTGTTTATTTATTTATCTAGAAGGTAGAATTATATGTAGATAAAGAGAACAAGAATCAGAGAGATCTGCAGAAATCTTTCATATGATAGTTAATTCTCTGAATGGCTGCAATAGATACAGTTGTCAGATCAAAGCCAAGAGCCTGGAACCCCACCCTGGTCTCCCATGTAGGTGACTGGGGTGCAAGGATGTGGGCCATCTTGCACTTCCTTTCTAGCATTAGCACGAAACTGGATTAGAAGTGGAACAGAGAGGCCCAGCGCTGTGGCCTAGTGACTAAAGTCCTTGTCTTGAACGTGCCGGGATCCCGTATGTGCGCCGGTTCTAATCCCAACATCTGCACTTCCCATCCAGCGCCCTGCTTGTGGCCTGGGAAAGCAGTCAAGGATAGCCCAAAGCCTTGGGACCCTGCACCCATGTGGGAGACCCAGAAGAAAATCTGGGCTCCTGGCTTCAGATTGGCGCAACACCGACCGTTGCGGTTGCTTGGGGAGTGACTCATTGGACAGAGGATATTTCTCTCTGTCTCTCCTCCTCTCTGTGTATCTGACTTTGTGATGAAAATAAAAATTTTAAAAATGGAACAGATAGAACTAGAACGAGTGCTCATATGCACTGCAGGTATTGCAGGCAGGCATTTACCCTACTGTGGCACACACTGACCAAAGTCACCCCTCTCCCAAGAAACTATGAGACCATTCAAAATAGCACCTCCTTTGTTGTAACCAAAAGCTCAGCTTTGCTCATCAACACATGATGAGGGTGCTAATATGTATATATTTTTCTTTTTTTTTCTTTTTTACTATTTAAAATTATCTTTTTAAAGATTTGTTTATTTTTATTAGAAAGGCAAATTTACAGAGGAGAGACCGAGCAAAAGATCTTCCATCCACTATTCACTCCCAAGTGGCTGCAGTGACCAGAGCTTAGCCAATCTGAAGTCAGAAACCAGGAATTTCTTCCTGGTCTCCCACAAGAATACAGGGTCCTAAGGCTTTGGGCCATCTTCTACTGCTTTCCCAGGCCACAAACAGGGAATTGGACAAGAAATGGAGCAGCCAAGTAAAGAGCCAGGGCCACACGGGATCCAGGAGCTTGCAAGGTGAGGATTTAGTCATTGAGTCATTGAGCCATTGTGCTAGGCCCCAAAATTTTATTTATTAGTTCTTTTTTTTTTATGGCCAGAAAGACAGAGGGGTAAACCCACCCATTGGGTTTACTCCTTAAATGCCTTCACAGTTGAATCTGGGCTAGGCCAAATCCAAGAGCCAGGAACACAGTCTGATCTCTCCGAACTACTTGAATCATCATCCTGATGTCCCAGGGTGAGCATCAGAAACAAGTTGGAACTGGGAGTGGAACTGGGACTTGAACTTCAGTACTCCAGTCCCATGGGACATCTTAATGTCCCATGTGACATCAAATTCCCACCTCATGTATATATTTGTTTTTTAAAACAAGAAGGTAAAATATTCATACATTCATAAGTATAGGTTGTATCCAGCAAGACACTTGCCTGATCAATAGCGAAAAAGATGCTTTCATAGGTGTCCTCCTGAGTATATACACTGCAACTGTAGTCATCTTCATCGACACCAGAATAGCCTTTCAAAAACAAATGCTTAAAAGCGATGGTGTTGTCTTCTTTGAAAGCAACGACCAGCTGGTTCCCCAAACCAAAACGAACAAGCTAGAAAATAAAGTCATACAGGAACTTATGAAGTTTTTTACTTCCAAAGGAGGCAAATGCCTTATTCTTATCATCAACTTTCACCTCTAAACATCACAAACCTCAGTGTTTTGGTTTAAACAAATGCAAAAAAACATGTCAAATACAAGTTCTTAGAGCAACCTCATGAAATTACACTGGCAATTCAAAGTAGCATGAAACTGCATGGAGATTAAGAATCCCAAACTACTAAGGACTTTGGCCTTTCTCATACTGTGACACACTGGATACTTGGAACTGAGAAGCTACCTGGGAACCAAGGCCTCTCTGACCTGCCCCAGTGGCTGCATCGATCCTCAAGCATGTGGAGGGACTGATGCTTTCTTGGTTCAAGGAGAAATTCTCCAAAAGGAATCCTAACTAATCCCTCCCCATAATCTCATGAAACAAAGAAGGTTAATTCAAGGGATGAGGAGAGTGATAGGGTTGATTAAGCTCAGACAACCTCTGTCATAGGACATTGCAGGTCACTGGGACATACTCTGGGCCATTCATTTCCTGAAAATGCCTGCATCTCTCAATCCACACTCACCTAAGAAAGGACAAATAAACTTTAAACTATCATTGGGTTTTGGAATACTCACTTTCCATTCTTATGATAATTCCATGAAGACAATAAATTTCATACCTCCTTCCTCAGCATTCTGTCTTTCAGCCCCAGTCTTTATAACCATCTGGGGAGTAAAACAGCAGGTGGAGGCATGGGAAGTGTTCACTCAGTCCTCAACTTTGCGCCCCTCCACCCCAGTGCCCTGTGTCTCCATTTCCCCCTCTTCCTCTGTAATTCTGCCTCTCAAGTAAATAGATCTGTCTTTCTTTAAAGAAGAATGAGGAGTAGCAGGCGGAAAAGGAGAAAAATTACATTTACAAAGATTAATGACCCTCTAGGTTTTTAACTAAGAAAGAATCTGTATCAGTTTCAATTTTTTCTATCTTATACAGGTTAAGCATTCCCAAACCAAAAAATTGAAATCTAAGACGTTCCAAAATTCAGATAAAACTATATTATTTGCATATAGCAAACAAGTTTGTATTTCTTAGCAGTGTATATTCTTCAACTTTTACACTGTGTCTGGCTTCTTTTTTAAAAATCTGAACAATTTAAAATGGCTACCACTTCCTAACAATTAGTATATAGCAGACACTGTAGCAACTGCTTTGTATGGATTATCTCATTTACCACTCCTTTAGCCTCACTTCATGGAAGCAAAAGCTGAGATGTAGGCTCATTGAATTGTTCTAAGTCACCTAACTTGATGAAGTTACTCTAAGTTGCACTAAGTTACCTAATGGAAACCAAGTCTAACTTCAAAGTAATTTTTATTATGATACAAAACCCGATTCCTTCTACTGAAAATTTTTTTAAAAAAATGTATTTGGGACATTTAGAAAATGTATTTGTCCTTCCAAATTATGAAGGACAAATATTATTTGAGAATGGGTATAGATCCTTTTAGCACTTTAGTCTCACCAATATCACATTCCTCAAATATCAAGTCAAAGAATTTAGCAACTGCTAAAACCCAGCAATTCTGAGAAAAACATCAGATAAGAAGTCCTATCATTCAATTTGTACTGATAGGTCAAGTAACAAAGGTTAAAATGTGTTCCAAGCGTATGAGTCTTTCTATGATGCCTATGAGAACCCAGGAAAGATCACGTGCTCATAGGAAGCTAAAAAAGCAAACCAGGTCATCAACACGTAGAATTATTTTTGAGGTTTTATTGAAAATATGAATACTTATGTGAATAAAAACCTGGTATACAAATGAACTAAGATCTACAACCAAAATTTGTTAAATGGCTACTCTGTGCCAAGTGGGGTGGCTCAGGTGTCTCACTAAGATATATAAGGATACTTCAGAAACTTCGTAGAAAAATGAAATTAAAAGCAGTTTATTCTGGTATCAATTTTTTTAATTAAATTTTTTATTTGAAAAAGATTTTTTTGAATTGAAAAACTAGGGATAGTTTTTATAATATTCACTTTCGGTGTATTCTGCAAAAAAACAAAAATAGGAAAAAAAAAAACTGCACTCTTTTTTTCAACAAAACAATTTTATCCTTGAAAGTTTATGAGCTTCTGAAGTGCCCCTGTAGAAAACTATTAACAGAGATAAACGTTTATTCAGCATTCACAGCACCTATGAAGGGAAGAGCTAGCATGTCTTACTAAAACAACATTACCTAATAATGTTACCAAATTGTTATTGAAGCACTGTACTATTGTAATAATATAGGGAAGTTCAGTGAAGGGTGGGAAAATAGGGAGAGGTGGGAGGAGAAATCCCTAAACGTATGAAACTGTATCACTAAATAAATTAAAAATTCTGTAAGAATAGGAAAAAGAAAATAGATAAAGCAAGCTTCTATCTACCAACGATATTACAATTCTGTAAACAATTTTATCTCAGAGTACGAAAAGAACTGAGCATAGATGACAACACAATTTACCTGCGTGGTGACCATGACTATCTTCAAAATCTGCAAGCCCAGTTTCCATGGAATCTGGTGCCTGGCTCGGTATTTTTCACAAGGGCTCATGAAATAGAACTTCAAGTCTTCCCTCAGACAGTCTTCTTTCACCTCAGAATCAAGATGTGCCATCGCATTTCTGCCAGAGAAGATCAATTTTTAAATTGAGCCTGTTGCACAAAATGTTCCTGTATAATGCTTCCCATTTACATTCTTCACTTCTCCAGATAAGCTCTCTCTCTTCAGCCAGGAAATTTCTTTCTGTTTAGAAACCTGAAATTTATCTTGGACTCTTATCAATGAGCTAAGTGGCATTTCCACTTAGCCGCTATCTTGTTCAATGTGACCATTCTCGAGAATTATGAAAAATAGTATTCTATTTGCAAGAGTTATCAATACCCATATCTTAATATATAGCATCCAGGTATCATTGGAAGTATTACAAGAAAGTGTATGGATGTGTGCGAGAGCATGAGCATGTTTGTCGATGTCATATGAACAAGCACTAGATGGAACATTTCCACGGAACTCAAGACACAAAATTATAGGAATTTATAACATACTAATAGGAGTAAATTGTAATGGAAGTTAGAGAATCTGTCTTGTAGCTAACTCTGTTCTGAGGGAAAAAAATTACATCTAGTTTGGGATTTTAAAAACTAAGGATTATGAGATTTCTTAATAGAAACAGCTCTGAAAAGTTTAAGCCTACTCAGATATTTGTCACCTTACAACTTTGAGTTCACTATTTTAGGGACCCTAGCCTTAGGAAAAGGCACATGACTTTCTTGAGGCCAAAGAAAGTAAATGAGACGTGAGCCTAAGACTGATGGCAAGAATGCTATCTTTGTACTAAGCAGGACCCAAGTGGGAAAAGGGAAAAATTCTTCAAGGGCTACAAAAAGTATTTGGTTCTTCTAGTTCATTCTACAAAATCAAGGGGTAGCATTTGGCACAGCAATTAACATGTGGCTTGGCGTGCATGTGTCCCAAATCAGAGTGCCTAGGTTCAAGTCCCAGTTCCACTCCTTATTAAAGACTAGAGCTAAGATAGAAGATCAGACAGGAGACAAACATCCAAACTATTGACAAAATTTGAGTTCCCAGATCCAACTGTACCTAAGCCCATTCATATCAAAGACTTTCACTGAGTGAACAAACACCATTTGGGGCACAAGTCAGTTTGTATTAGATTTCTATTACCAAAAAAGGTGTCTTGAGGGCAAGTTTAGTGAAAAAAGTCCAGTATGTGAGATCCATTATTTGAGGTATTATTTTCATGGGAAGTTTTTATAACTGAGATTCATTCTTGGAAACCTTATTATCAGAAATACCTGAAGGACTAATTTTTGCACTAATTTATGAGCTAAGTCATAAGCCTTGACTAACAAGTTTCTTTTTCTTTTTTAAAGATTTATTTTATTTTTATTGGAAAGGCGGATATACAGAGAGGAGAGACAGAGAGGAAGATCTTCCGTCCCATGATTCACTCCCCAAGTGAGCGCAACGGCCGATGCTATGCCGATCCGAAGCCAGGAGCCTCTTCTGGGTCTCCCACGCGGGTGCAGGGTCCCAAAGCTTTGGGCCGTTCTCGACTGCTTTCCCAGGCCACAGGCAGGGAGCTGGAAGGGAAGCAGAGCTGCCAGGATTAGAACCGGCGCCCATATGGGATCCCAGGCGTGCAAGGCGAGGACCTTAACCACTGCACCACCGCGCCGGGCCCTACTAACAAGTTTCATAGAAGCACAAAAAGGAGTGACCATTAAGGCCTATAATCAGTTATTAATTTTTTATTTCTGAATGGACTTTCTGACTCCTATTTCTAGAATTAGTAGGCTAAGTTATTCAGAACTTTCCTACTGGAATGGACAGAGCAAAAGAAGTGAAGGACGTAGAATAAAGAAGAAGGGAAGGAAGGGGAAAAAAAGGATTAGCAAAAGAAGAAAAAAAAAAGAAAAGAAAAATACTGAATAAAATGCACTCTTGATGGGGGTGGTCACCTTAAAAAATGAATAAACAAAACGAAGAGTTAAAGAAGGCAAGGAAGCATGAGCTTTTGGAACAGCTTGGGATGCCCCAAGCTCTGCTGAAGGCCCAGCTGTGCTCCTGTTCCAGCTCCCTGCTGATGGATATTCTGGAAGGCAGCAGGTGATAACTCAAGCACTTGGAACCCTGTAATCTACATGAGAGACCCTGTTGAGTCCTTGGCTCCTGGCTTCACTAGGGCCCAGTTCCAGTCACTAAGGACATTTGGGAAGTGAACTGTGGATCTCTGCTTCCTCTCCCTCTCCCACTGCCTTTCCCTCATCCTCTCATTTTCAAACAATATTATTTTAAAAAGGGAACTCCATGCCCATCTTGGCAGATACCTAGAGAAATCAGAACACATTCCATGTATTCCACCCATGATTCTGTGGCCTCAGGAAAGGGGAAACAGCAAGCCAGGATAAAAATCTTTAAGCTATCCAAAATGTAATGAGTGTAGACAGGTGCACCCAGGGCTGCTGTCTCAGGAAATAGAGCACCATTGAAACCGCCTGTTCCCAAACAGGACTACAAAGATGACTGCAGCAGTTCCCAATCAATGAGGAAAGAAAGAAAATTTTAAAAGTAGATCCATCCAGCAGAAATAAAGGTCATAGAAGGTAGATAAACCAGGGAGCTGTGAAGTGTGAGTTTGTTTGGTTCTGAGGCTCTCAGCCTGGAACTGCTCTTTATATGCCAGAAAACACACCTGGACTTCTCCAGACATTCATGTGAGGGCTTGGGTACTCTCACAAGCAACTAGAAAACACAATGACCAGCAGTGGTTCAGGAAGACCAAACTCAAGACCAATCTGAATGACTGAGAGTCTGCTACAAGAATGCACAAGTTTACTGCATAAAAGACAAACAGCATAGGGGAAAATATCTGCACGAAAACCTTTGAGATGAAAATATTTTTTAAATTAAAAAAATTATGGTCACAAAGAGGCTCATTTCTAAAGAATGAAAAGTTTGAAATGTGTTTGCCCTGTGCCCATGATGGTCATCTCTTGATTCAGCTTCATCACCTTGATGGGCATTTATTCAGCTGAGTAAGCACAATGAACTTTGGGACACAAGCCAGAGTGAGTTCCCTGAATTACAGGGAAATTCACGCTAAGTATCCAGCAGGAGAGACAAACTTATGAAAGGATAAAAAGCAAGTATTCCAGTGAATGCATAACCGTAAAACAGCATGCGTGTGCAGTTCTGACTGGGAAAAGGAATTCAAAGAGTCAGTTGGAAAGCCCCTCACAGTCAGAACGTCCAGCTGGGGAAGTGCTACTGGAGCATATGACTGGGGCACAGAGGCTCTTCCACGAAGAAGGTGACATCTCAAATGGTTGAGATGAGAGCAGCATCTTCAACCAGGAGCCCTCAGACCCCCGAGAACACACTTGTTAGAAGCCCTGGTGGACACGTGTGAGCAACACAGATTTCATAGTTAGCCACAGTATGACTCTAGTGGATCAGTGCTACCAAGGGATTCATTCTTGTTATCCACAATATGCCTTGTGTTTAATAAGAAGAAAAGAATACATGGAAGCTGCATATTTGAGTCTCAGAAACCTGAGTGCACAGCTGTCGACTCCCTCCTGGCCACATCCATATCCCTGGCCCATGTGAGAGATGCTTCAGTCAAAGAAGAGACTGTTTTCTCAAAAACAGTTACACAAAACACAAGGTACTCTGTGAACCATGCTCTGCAGGAGACACCCTGTGCTTCCAGGACTCAGTCCTGGGGATGGGGTTGTTGTGAGCAGATAAAAGTACAGTCATATGGGCAAGCTATAGTTGAGATGCATTGAACACCCTGGAAAGACAGAAATGCCTAATGCAACCCAGTTTTTAAGAAGCTTAAAAAATGTTTCTTGCTGAAAAGCCATTAAGAATAAAAGAAACAATAATTAGGGGCTGGTATTGTGGTACAGCATGTTAAGCTACCAATGGGGCACTCACATCAACTAGTCACTGAGAAAACCCATTCCTTCCCCAGATAATTAGGAAGGGGTGGCGTCAGCGAAGTTTAAGGCCACCAGATATCCTTCAGCAATTTTAGTTTTATCAAAGCCATAACTAAAATAATCTACAGAAGTCTGACATTTTGACAAGACAAGTTACCGGTGATTATTAACTTTATTGGAGTCATAAACCCCTATGAGGACAAGATGAAGGCTTTTGACTTTGCCCCAGAAAAATGCACACACCAGTTTTTGTGATGTCAGAAGAAGACAAATCAATCCAGGTTGCATCCGTTTGTGACTTGTAGGCTACTCACTGCACCTGACAAGGAACCTGCTGGAGTTTCCTACTGCAGTGTTCTCCAGAGTCAGGTGTGTGCACACAGGGATTGTGCGGGTGTGAGACAGAGGCTTAGGGCTCCCACTTGCATCCATCTAGCACATGGTTACAAGATTGGGGCTGGCGTTATGGCATAATAAGTTAAGCAGCTAGTCCTCCTGCAGATCCTGACCACCACAGCCTGGGGACTCATGCCCATTTACCCCACAGCCTCACTTCCCCTTCCTCACTACATCACACTTCAGCCCTGGCCCTGCAACATCACATTCTGGGAATTCACACTTGCAGTGTCAATCACCCTGCCACAGTTTAAGTCACATGTCACCACATCTGAGGACTGCTTGGCTGTCGCATCAACTGTGGCCTCCTCCACCCTGCAGCCTGTCTTCCCTTACTCCCTTCATAATCAAGATCACAATCTCTATTGGTCTCCCTTACTGGAGGACTTCAAGAAGGTCCAGGCCTGCTTATCAGTGTGTATTCCAGCAAGTAGCAGTAATGTTTCCTGCAGTAAAGAAATAAATTAACAAGACAACAACCCTGACACCCTTCCTCTGCGAGTATCCCTTAAGATAAAATAATAATAATAGTAAATGTACAATAACAGCAGAAAGTCTAAAATATTGATATGAACAAGATAATGAAATGCTTGTTTAAAAGCTTGGTGGGGCCAGCTTGGTGGTATAGTAGACTAAGCTTCTGTTTGCCATGCTAGCATCCTATATGGGTGCCAACTGGTATCCCAGCTGCTTGACTTCCAGTCCAGTTCCCTGCTTATGGCCTGTGAAAGTAGAGGAGGATGGCTCAAGTCCT